ACACAGACAACCCCGTAACAATATGTGTTTTGTACTGCTGTTACACAGCACAAAACGCATAAAAATGACAAATTTCTAGAACATGTGAGCAATTAGAGCTGAGCATGGTATGCCGGCAAATGGCCCTACTTTAGTACTAAAAATCGTGGTTTAGATTCCAGCGGGGAAAACTAGTCTCTCTACGACCCGCTAATTCATGCTAACAATAACAGGAAATCACGCTAACAATTCCTTCTGAACGACTACGGGGAAAAGGAGTTAAAGAAAGCTTTCACAGCGGGTGGTTGCAGCTAGCAGTGAATCAACACTCAATCACTCGGAGCGCTTCCACCTCTCGAAATGAGTATTTATCGGAAGAAAGTGACACAGCAGTAATTGTAGGTTGCAGATATGAGTTATGACTAACAATGCCACGGTGTATCGCGAGTGAAATTTTTCTGGTTTGTGACTAACACATATATTAAAGTTTTTCTGCTACTTAGCAAATTTTTTTTTAAATTTTAGGAGGCCTTTAATAAAAATTTTCGAGCTGAAATTATTTTAGTACGCTCAAAGCTGAAATCATTTTTATGTGGTATGCAATAACGTCCTGTAAAACTGAATTTCAAAACTTCATGTTGAGTACCCGATAATCTGTTGCTTTGTCAGCTCCGCAGGTTTTGTATCAATCTCCAATTTGCGACTTGATTCATCGTCCCCGCTCTCCTCATCATCGCTATAGTCAAATTCTCTCGACAACAGATTCTTAAAACCATGTAAGTTCAAATCGGTGCGAAAAAAAAGGAGTAGCGGAAGAACTTCAAAACAGACGAAATTAGCAAGAGATTACAAACCTTAATACTCCCCTGCCTCTTCGAATCCAATTCTCGTCGTTCAGTAAGTTTGTTGTTTACTAATTTGCTGATTTTCTGCAACAACGATGGATCAGAACTGAACATGCCACTTAGATCCAAATTCATCGCTGTCAGCATTGCAAGCGTTTCTTTTTCACTTACGCCACCTTCCACAGCATCATCGCTTGGCTCTCGTGTCATCGGAGGCGGCGTTCGTGATCGAATCTCCTGTGAAAACATCAAAATCAAATTCGCCAAAATAAATTTCTTAAAGAAATAATGAGACCTTTTGCAATACACAGCAACAAGTCAAATTAGGTCCTAGCATTACTGCCAAGACAGTTTGATTCAGGATTCTACAGGATTGTTCGTCTCTTGTCGCCACTACATAATATGCTGAGACTTCTTTTGTTGAATGAGAGTACTGCCGGGAATAACCTTGAGAATGCGCACAGCATCGATCGAACTGTACTCGACTTTGTTCTTTTTTTTTGTATCTGGCGCAAACCAGTAGAAGCGCTTAGATTTTGGTTACATTTGAATTATACCGTAGCTTACAAATATTATGCAACGACAGTAATTTTTAACTAACTTGTGGCGAGCGCGGTTCAACGATCTTCCGTTTTTCAGTACGACCTGGGACACGATTGTAAATTGAGAAGTCAGCTTGTTCGCCTTTGACACTTTTTTCCACGGTCACAAAGTCCGTTTCTGTAAAATGTTCTTCTAAACAAATTTTTTATAGCTTATGCAGGCAAGAGAAGCATTCTTATCCACGCCATTCTTGAAAAAAGCGTCATTTTACTAGAAAATCTGATAAATCATTTCAAAAGAAAAGTAAGCGAACCGAGCCCATGGACATTGCTGCAGTATTCAAGCCAAGGGCGCAGTTTTGCAGCGTCAAATATCTCATGACTCTTCCATAAATTCAAAACTCGAACAACTTTCATCTGTAAAGATAGTAAAAGTGCTGAAGAAAAAAGTATGAAGAAATTTGCTGGTTTAATGTGATCTTCTTCTTCAACTACATCTCAAAGGCTTGCTTGCCGCGGGAAAATGATATAGTCTGCTTTAGCTGATTTCTCAGTACGTGCTGATTCCACCAATCAGCAAAAACAGGACAATGGAGATCACAAATGCTGCCATGGAAGCGATCAAGTACTAATGAAAACGCTTGACAAAAGCCAGAATATGCGCACACTTTTTCTTTTTCATGCTTTTGCGTGTATCTTTCAGGACTGCGCTTACTGTGTGCCTTTGTTCTGCTATTGCTTCATTTATAAAAAACAATCAGTGCGGAAGTATGTTAAAAACCCCTAAAATGCGAGTTTAGGAGAAGCTCAATTTGCTGAAGATTGCTTTAAATTGGACAAAAACGCGTAGTTCCGTTTCGCATATTTCGTCTCTTAATTAGCTATCAAATTTATTCAGTCCACTTTTCCAACAAGAAAGAAATTAATTACTCAGCCCCTTTTCTCCAGAGAATTCCCCAACCGAGTGTGAAAAGACCAAACTGGTTTTCTTCCCTCCTCTCCCTTAGGCACTGTTCGAGGCGCTACGTCTTGTGGTGTTACATTCTGCACTCATAAAAGCATAAGGCGGTTAATCAGCAATAGTCACTAAAATAGCTACTCCTTCTTTTGGCTTTACACTTTTTGCATTTATGCAATGCGAAGCACATACTATGGGAAAGCATGTTACGTGTGTGTGCTCGCATACTCCAACTTCCAAATCTACGGAAGCTAGGAAGCTGAAATTTTAGCAATTTTGTCCAGTGCTACCGGTGTAATTTCAGACGTGTAGTGGACGTTCACTTCCCACTACTTCTCAACGTAGGACCAGAAATATTATCACGAAAAAGCAACTTTTGCAATCAGAAAGGTAGAAATATGTAACTTCACGATCTTCCCTGTTCAAGCACGAAACGGAAAAAACCGCAAACTCAACCTTTAAGAACAACTACGTCGCGTATACGAACACTCTGCAATTCATATTGCGAATCTGCTGTCTTTTGCCAACTAGGAAATAAGAGTGGGTGGAAAGCTGCGATTAAAAGGCAACTACTAAACCTCGGCTTGGTTTGACTCAGCCGCGCAAGATGCACTCATTTTTTAGGCTCAAACTGCGAAAACCGTGGTACCTGATTTCTTGTCTAAATTAGATCTATAGTGAGACTGGTACCGATTTCTCTCTCCCTCCCTAGGCTACAAATTATGCAGTTTTGCGAAATGCATCTATGCAGTAGGAAATTTTAGTTTAAGCAATGTCGAAAAATGGCCAGGCTTATTCTACATCAAACAAAAAAACCGATAACTCTCAGTAAATGGCTAAAATCACAATCATGGTTGTTTCGATTCGTGAAATGGCCCAATGCTCCTGCGCAGAAGGCAGATACTCCTCGCTCAAAAAAAAAGAGGAAAAATCAGGATATGAATGACATTACAAGCAGCGCATGCGGCTCGTTTTGGTAACCGACGGTATGATGTCCAACTGGGGAAGAACGATGACTCGAAACGGATTTGGAGTAGACGTATAAAAACAACGAGTTCTGAACGGAAACACGAATCTCACGTCAGCTGCATCCA